AGAAATTTAATTATGGTTCATAAGAATATTCTGGTGGTTTTGCAAATAAGATTTGCAAGCATTTTTCATTGTAAAGTAAAAATCCAGAAACGCTTCGATAAGATTTGCAAGAAATAACCTAAATCTCCGTAAACCCTTATTTTTTGAAGTGACCTGTCTGGTAGAGATCTAACTAGTTCATCAAAAACGCTTGTTTATTAAAACAAAATTTGGAGTGCTTCAGTGGGACATCGATAAGGAAACTATCGGATCAATTTTTATTGTAGAAGTTCCTACGTCCAATTAAATGCATCATACAACACACCTTTATTGAAGAATGATTTTGTATAATTTTATAATTAATGTAGAAATTTGATACATGTATTTGTTTTAACCCTTTCGTGAACGGGTACCTGTGACCTGGCTATATTATACTATAGAAGGTCAAGTAATTAGGCCATCAAAGGGGGCATTTTGCCCCCTTTCATAAACTACGGTACTACAGCAAGTAGAAAGGGCAAATCCGCTCCGTCCACCACACAAAAATAATGAAAGGGGGCATTTTGCCCCCTTTCGTGGGTGACACAAGTGGCACTCGAGGATACACCCTCCAAAGGGGGCAAAATGCCCCCATTGACCACAAAAGGATTAATAAATCTTGAGCGATCGAGGAATATCAAACTCGAGTCAAAGTGCGTTCCGCGCTTGTTTACGTTTGTGGTTCGGCCTTGGTCCAGGTTTTTTGTCGCGCTTGCCTACACGCTCGGGGTCACTTTGAAATAGGGGCGCCTGTAGCGAGGAATTCGTCCTTAGTGTCACAGTTGAGGGCCATGGCTTCAGTGAAAATGTGTACGTTTCTCTAAAGTGTAGGATTGACATCCTTTTGTTGTCATACAAACTCTCAATTCTTTGGCCCTCATTCGTAGCCGCACAGATTGAGTGAATACATGGAAATAATTCATCTTTCCAGTTTCCACATATTTTTCCAGTTGCTGCATCATAACGTGTATTCAATTGGAACTATTTCAGGAAACAAGGTTGGATACCCACGGGAGATTGTGGAGACTAATCGAGACCGGCCTAAGAGCATTGCCCATGGCACTGTGCGCATGGCAGTCGCTAAAAATTTTCCTTTGATGACCGGTCTCGTATGGTGGGACCGCAAGCCCGTGCAGTTCTTGGGACAGGATCAAGTCGGTCGATGGAACTTGCAGTACGTAAGCTATGCCATTGTTTTTTTTTTTTACTCTATCTGACATTTGAATTGGTATGTCATCAGGGAGACGAACACGAGGCACAGGAGTAAAACTCCACGTCGTCCCGTGCCCATCCATGGTACGTGACTATCACCGTGGATGGGAGGGGTCGACATACACGATCAGCTTCGACTTCAGCGGTATTCCCTCCAGCTGCAAACATGGTGCAAGAAATACTACAGGGCAATTTTCATGGGGCTGGTTGACGTAGCAATTGTGAACGCCTATATCTTGTTCCGCGAGGCACAAAAGCGAATTGACGTCAGACCTACTTCTCATGCTGAGTTTTTGCTGGAGCTCCATGCACAGCTGCTGGCGATGAAGAGAGAAGACTTCGTTGAGAGGATAAGTGTTCATGTTGTATGGTTGACATGCTGGATGTATC